CCGCTTTCTAATTAAATGCTAAATATTCAAAGTCTAAAACTATTTATGCTCCACTTTATCTCTAAAATAAAAATTAATGTTTGATTATTGACCTTAACCCATTAACTTCATCTAATTATATATTTTCGAGTTAACAACTTTAAATAAGCTAATATCAGTTATTAAATTTTTACCAATTCTTCATGATAATATAAATTATTTTTATAATAATAATAATTTTATACCTATACTATTCTATATTATTATACTAAGGATTTTTTTCTATCTGATCTCGTCTACACACACGATCGATCACACATTGTTTTCAAATTTTGTCTTTTCAATATAAATTAATTAATTAGTTAAAAATTATTATCTCTTTTTTTTACTTCTACCATCATATCTTTCTTATTTAACACTTTAATCACACGTTTTTCTTGATTTTTTCTCAGATATAAATTAATAAATAAAAATAAAATAAAAACTTGTTATAAAATAAATTTCTAAAACATAAAAAAAATGAAATGATAAAAAATAATTATTTTGATTCTTTAAGTATATTTTATCTAAATGTTAATTAATTGACAGTATCGATTTCATAACCATAACTATAAAAATATTAATAAAATGTTTTTATAATCACTTTTTAAAATAAAATATTTTTAATATTTAATGAAATAGTTTATTTTTGAGAATAAAATATTTTTTATATCTATTTGATAGAATGAAACATAATAAATTACGTGAATTTTATGGGTTTTCATTATTTTGTTCGTAAAATATAAATAATAAAAAATTTGACATAATCATCGTAAATTAGAATATTAATTTAATAATGTTTTCATTATATATTATAAAAAATATATAATAAATAATATAAAAAAATAAAGGAATAATTATTTAATTTAATATATTAAAATTTTCATATTGATAAAGGATTATGAAATAAATATATATAGAAAGAAATATAAAAAAAATATATAAATAATATATTTTTAAAAAATTAGATAAATTTTTTATTAATTTTTTTATTTAACTAGATTTATTTATTATTCTTATATAAAATTTCATCACTGAGAATAAAATTTGTATGATATGAAACTTTTTTTTCTCCTTATTCATTCCTTTTTTTTCGTTTTCTTTTTTCTTTTTTTCTCTTCTCCTTACTGAAATTTGATAAAATCATATTAATTTTTTTAATGTAATAAAATATTCATTTTGATGTTTTTTTCTAATAAATATTTTTTTAAATTACTTAATTTTGACTAATCATTCTTGTTCAACTTAATTATAATTAGATTAAATTATTAAATAATAAAATATATATCTAATATTTTTTTATAACTAGATTAAATTATTAAATAATAAAATACATATTTTACGTTTTTTTATTAGATGAGTAATTGATTTATTATGATAAAATAATTTAAAATTATTTATTTATGACCATTATAAATTAAATTATTTATTATTATCATAATTTTAAATAATTGATTGATTTTGTTAGTTTTAATGTTAATTTTAAAAAATATTTTAAAATGTTTTCAATAAATTTTAATATTATATATTTAATTAAAAGAATAAGTAAAAAGAAAAAAGACAAAAACAGAAAACAATAGGAGGAAAAAGAGTAAAATAATGAGAGAATGAACTAATGTGTGAGAGAGAAAAAAAAATTGTTTCACTTGTTAGTGTAAAGAGGTTGAAAAAAAAAAATTAGACATCGGTCGTCGTTCCCACGGCAATAAAATGCCAATTGATGAGCTGATTGTTAACAGAAGTCCCACTCAGTGTTGTGCCTCAATCTCCCCCATGCTGTGTTAAAACATCTCCAATACAATACCCTTACTCAATATTTTCAATCTAATACTTCCATTTTATACAAATATAATAATGTAAGTATTATGTTATCATTAAATAATTTACATTTAACTTTATTTCAGTAAAAAGAGTATGACAAATTTTAAACAGGTAAATTAAATAATAGTTCTTTAAAAAGAAATAATTATTGTTGTTGAAAGTAAAATCACATAAATACAAACTAAATGATTCGAAAAAAAGCAAGATCCAAGCTTTAGAAGATATTGAAATCAACAATGCGGTTGAACTTTATCACAATACTAAAAACACATGAATATTCTGTAAAGACTCTCTTATATGTAAGTAAAAATATAAAATAATAAATTTAGTGTCTATTATATCTCTATATCATTTAATTTATAATAATCTTACTAAAATATGAATAAATAATAATTAATATCTATTTAAATATTAATTATTTTTTAATACTTTTAATATATAATATATAATAAATAATTAATACAAAAATCATTTATTTTAATTAGAATGTTTGATTTTAAAGCGTTTCGATACTGGTCTCAAATAACTTATAAGTAGAGATAAAAAGTATTTTATATACATCGAATTGTCTTTTAAAGATAATAACAGGATAAACGAGAGTTATAAAATAAATAATATCTTAAACATAATTGATGTCCATCATGAGATTTCGGTAAAATAATTGTCATTCCATGGTTTTAACTCGAAGACAAAAAATATCCAATTTGAACGACGATATGAATTTTATTATTGTCTTCAACATTCTCAAAAATCATATGAACAAATGCTAACAAAAAAAATTAGGAGGAGATAATCTACAAGAACATAATGACGCTAAACTTTTCTAATAGAAGACTTTGAGTTAGTTCGGAAATAATACTAGACAAAGCTCAAAACTTTACGAAATAAGTTTAAGGTCCTCGTTAAACCGTCTTAGACGAGTAGACAAAACATGTAATTGAAGATATCGCAATACAGGTCAATGAGCCTTTTTAGACAAAATGTCCCACTAAGTCAAGTAAGAAGGAGTCACTTAAGGAAGAATGTTAAATACAAGCATACTAATGATCACCAATTAATTCCAAGAATCTTGTAAACCCTTTCCCAGTTAATTATAAACTTTTTTTTTTCATGTTAGAGAAGTATAATGGCTCGATAGATCCAAAAGAACATTTAGTTATGCATACAATACAGGAAAATTTGTATATTACTAATGGAGTAGTCTTGTGTTGAGTCTTTCCTACTATAAGATCAGTGGCGGATCTTGATCATTGATCTTGGGGACCAAATAATATATTATTAATAAATAATAAATAAATATAAAAGAAAGAAGATGAAAGGGTGAAAGGATAAAATTGTAGATATATACTTAAATATATTAAATGATCGTTAAGTTTGAGGGGGACAAAATCATAAATTATATGAGAGTTACAAAACTAAGGAGGGACTGTGAAGATAAAACTGTAAATAAACAAGTAAACATATTAAATGTTCATTAAGTTTAGGGGTCAAAATCATAAATTACATGGGAGTTACAAAACTTTAGAAGGGTCACGACCCTCCTCAACTCCCAAGAAGGTCGCATCATCGATATCATATGGTGCATCCGTATTTCTTTTAAAGGAAAATACTTTCAATAATCTTAAAGTTGTAATTTATAATATAATGTATTGATCTTTTCAATTGAACCACATATTTTCTTATTGACTTCGACCAATCTCAATAAGAATATTTAACGTTTATTATGAAATTGAGAGTCAAATCTTATACTCGTTTATATCACTTAATTCTTAATTAAATGTTATATTTTGATACATTTATAAGTCTCACCCCACTTAAAAAATATAGACTATTTTCTCTCAAATCATCAATTATCTCAACTCATCAAGAGCACTTAAATGTAGAAATTAAATCCCATCATAAAATATATATATATATATATATATATATATATATATATATATATATATATATATATATATATATATATATATATATATATATATAATACCGAGACTTTAAACGAAACACCAATTTAATTAGACCGAAAACAACTATCACTTAAAATCAGTAATTCAACTTTTTGTAACGGTGGATATAATTTTATACATAATTATTAACGATTCCGTGTGAGATCTGATTATGTAAATCTAAAACCAGCTAAAGTAAGTGTTCTTTTAAGAAAAACATGGATAACAAAGCTACTTCCTTTCAAAAAGTTCATATCATATTTTATGCATTTCAATTTTTATTCACCTAACTTTTTTTATATCCAAACTTTACAATGACGTGTGACTTTTCGATAATACGATATACCTTCCTGTCAAAATAATAATCATTATGTGATTGCTTAAATTGAAATTAATAAAATTTCCTTTTTATGAACAAGATTTTGATACAAGTACCACTAAAATCCTCTCCTTAAACAAGTTCTTATATTTAAATTTTATGAAAAGAAGTGATTACAAGTTAATGTAATCTTAAATAAATAATCTTGATATGACATAGATTAAAATGGGCAATGTATAAAAGCAATATGTATTTTGTTTAAAAAAATATTAAAAACAATTAATTTTTAATTTATTCTCTTAGATTATAATTACTAATTCTAAAAATTAAAATACTAAATATCTTTATTATAAAACTGGTACAAAAATATCTATATTATCATCAACAACCCATTCTTATAATACAAAAGACAATTACAATAAAATAAATTATATACACGATAAATCTATATTATTCATAAAAGAGATTGAGTTGTATAATTTTTTTATATATAATTCTTTTTTATTTTACTTTTTATATTATATTTTTTTATTTTCTTTTCAATATTTATATTTAAATTATAATTTTATCTTTAATATTTTGATAGTAATAGTTTTATAACCGTAGTTTTTAATTATTTTTTAAAATTAAAGTTTATTTTTAAAACCGATCGGTTCATAAAAAAGTATTAATTTTGAGACCAAGCAAAGTTGTTTGTCATGAAGGAGAGGTAGGACAACCAAGCACCAAACAGGTTATATCTAGCAAAAGTGGGTGAAGTGAGAAAGAAAAAAAAGGGAGAGAGAAACTTCGAGGAAACATCCTTCACCGTTCATCACTATCAATCCAACAACAAAAACATATCCATTCCAATCACTGCCACGCTGATACTGACACTTCCATTCTCCACCTTAATGCCCTTCAACTCCCACTGCTTCACCCTCTCTCCCCTCGAAGGTATCATTTTCTGTACACGTTTTCCTTTCAATTTATCATGTGGGGTGTTGTTAACTTTGCAAAGTAGGGTTCTTTTTTGAAATTAGTATGAATTTGGAGAAAATTAAAACAAAGAAAGAATAATGGGTCTGGTAGGAGTTTTGAAACTGAGTGCACTAAAATGCAGATTAGAAGAAAAAAGTTAACTGTTTTTGTCAAGAATATCTTGAAGAAGTACAGTTCTGAGGGATTTGATTTGAATGCTTAAATGGGGATGCTGGGTTTCTTTAGGATAAAGAACTTATGGGTGGATCAATTTCAAAACGAAGGAGTTCTAGGCGACGTTCTTCCTCAAATTTTTTTCCTCGGTATCAATCACCTTATCTGCCACAAAGCCAAGATCAAGGGCCTGTGGGACATTACGGATATTCATCTCAAAGCACTGGTGGTGATCGTGCTGCAGAACAAGGAAAGAGATCCGATGGGAAGTATTCAAGGATAGGTGATAATTATAAGAACTTGTACCAGGTAATCTTTTTATGCTCCTTCATTCTCAATGTATGAAATGGCTTACATGAAGAATAGTTTGAGGCTTGGGTGTGCATGGATTGTGAGAATCTGTTCCAGGGTTTAGGCTGAATGCATGCAATGCAACTGTCCTTGTATTCTGAATTTAAGCTCGTAGTTTTGAGAAACAAGAGCCTATTTCAGTGCAGGTCTTGAATCGTTTAGAATAAATTGTAACTAACTTTTTGAAATTATTATGTTGACACTGTCATTGTTCATGCCATTGTTCTAGCTGAGAATGTAAATGTTAGATTATTATGCTGACTTCTGGTACTACCCCAGTAATCATATTGAATTCTCATATTGAAATGACATTCTGAAGTAGTTTTTCATATTTTAAGGTAACTGAAGCTCTGTCAAATGCTGGCTTAGAATCTTCCAATCTCATTGTTGGTATTGATTTTACAAAGAGCAATGAGTGGACAGGTTTTTCCCTTGTCGACTAACCACCTTCATCTCCCCTCCTTTGTAATTGTATTAACATGCATAACTTTACTCTGTATTAGGTGCAAGGTCATTTCAAAGGAGATGCCTGCATCACATTGGTCATGAACAAAATCCGTACGAGCAAGCTATATCTATCATTGGGAAAACATTATCTTCCTTTGACGAGGATAACTTAATTCCCTGTTTTGGTTTTGGAGATGGTAACATAAGAACCATTGTTATGAATTACATTCATCATTCTACTATAATGTCCCGATGAGTTATATTGTGTTTGGATTTTCATACTGGCAGCATCAACACATGATCAAGATGTTTTTAGCTTCTATCCTGATGAGAGATTTTGTCAAGGATTTGAAGAAGTGTTGAAACGATACAGGGAATTGCTCCCTCAGTTGAAGCTTGCAGGTATTGGAACATTGGTCAAACTTCATTCCCTTTTTTGTTACTGTATTTGTTATCAGCTCTTTGCTTATGCTATTTTTGCCTCTAACTCATGGCAGGACCAACATCATTTGCCCCAGTCATTGAGATGGCAATCACCATAGTCGAGCAAAGTGGAGGCCAATACCATGTCTTAGTGATTATAGCCGATGGGCAGGTTGAGGATTACTTGAATTGAATTGGAAAAATATTTTTATTATTAAGTGTATCTTGAGATCAAATAATCAAATTTTACACCAAAAAGTGTCCACATTTGCACGGGAATTTTTTATATAGATGTTCTTCCCTTTTCATGGGGTGAGGCTGTATGTTTATTGTTGAACATCTAGACCTTCCTTAAATATTACATACCTTGACACTTGTCCATATTTAAGTAACCAAGTGAATGCAACATTTGTAGTAGTCAATGGTGGAGCTAGAGAACTATATATTAAGGGGCTAAATAAAAGACAAAAATCAGGCTTTGGTTATATAAAAGGGAATTGCATTTAAGTTTGTTATTTCCCTCTCCATGGCATGTAGTACCTTTTCCCCTAGTGGCAATAACTAGTAACCAGGAAAGCAGTATTTATTTCAAACACAAGGTTAGATTATGGATACATTGGATGCTTTTATGTTAAGCATTGTTTTCTTAGCTCTTCAAGTCTATGGTTTAGGCGTAAAATTTGGTGGTTAATTGTTAAATGAAATTGAAATCTAAATAAGAATCAGCTGTAGTTTTCGTATGGAACTATCAAGAATCTTAGAGATGATACATACTGACATGGTGTGATATTGTTTGTCATTGGTTATCGTCTAGCATTAGGAGACTAGGTATGTTAAATGAATTCATGTGGAATATTGTCAACTTGTTGCAGGTGACGAGAAGTGTTGACACTGAGCATGGCCAGTTGAGTTCACAAGAAAAGAAAACTGTAGAAGCTATTGTGAAAGCTAGGTAACTAGTTGTCTGTGTTCCTTTAATCGTTTTCATGGTTATAAGATTTCTAAATTGTGATTATTCTCATCATAAAAAATGTTTATTACCAGTGAATATCCCTTGTCAATCATATTAGTTGGAGTTGGAGATGGGCCGTGGGATATGATGAAACAATTTGATGATAACATCCCTGCTCGAGCGTTTGATAATTTCCAGGCATGTATCTTCTGTTAAAAATTGTCAGTTCTGCTGTTTCTTTAAAACATGGTTTGTCTATGCTCTCAATATTGACAAACTTGCTTTTTCTTTTATTTTATTTTTTTGTCTTCTGTAGTTTGTGAATTTCACAGAAATAATGTCAAAGAACATGGATCAGTCCAGAAAGGAAACCGAATTTGCACTCGCAGCCTTGATGGAAATACCCTCCCAGTACAAGGCAACACTAGAGCTTAATATATTGGGGTAACAAATGTTGAATTCTTTTCTTCATAGGCTTTGTTGCATTAAATATACTATCTGTTTATGAATCCATCTACTAAGCTTTATAAATGTTCAAATAGTGCTCGTAGAGGGAAAGAGATAGACAGGGTTCCTCTGCCACCACCTCTATATGGTGCATCATCTTTCAATTCCCCCAAAACTTCCCGTCAAAACAGTTTTTGTCCCAGTGCACCATCTAGCAGACATGATGTTAGCACGAACCCTCCTGCAACTTCTGCTTCTGCTTCTGATAATCAGGTACCTCCACTCTTTCTCTTGTTATTGGTTTTTCCCTCTTTAGTTTGAGGTCACTACAGTAGAATCAATTGAAAAACATAAAATTCATTCTATAATTTTTATCATATTATTTTTGTACACAGATACTATGATCTTATAGTATTTTACTCCAATAAATCAGGACTAAATAAAGGAAGTTTTGATTATACAATATTTTGTACCGCTATACAAACCTATAATTTAGCTAATTAAATATTTTCATCCCAACACTCCCCCTCAAGTTTGTAAATGGATGTCATACATTCCCAACTTGTCCAATAATCTCCTAAAAATCTTACTTGTCACAGTTTTGGTAAGAATGTTTGCCAGCTGATCTTCAGATCGAATATTTGGCAATTCTAGAATATTTTTATTAAGTTTTTCCTTGATGACAAATCTATCAACCTCCACATGTTTCATTCGATCATGTTGGACAGGGTTGTGAGCAATGTCGCGCGTAGCTTTATTATCACAATACAACTGAATGGGACGTGTATGTGCATAACCTAAATCCTGGAGAAGTAGTCTGAGCAACAAACCTTTACAAAGTCTAAGAACCATTTCTCTAAGTTCAGCTTCTGCACTGGATCTAGCTACAACTTTCTGCTTCTTACTTTTCCATGTGACAAGATTATCTCTTACAAATGTAAAGTATCCAGAGGTTGATCTTCTATCATCAAGAGCACTTTCCCAATCTGCATCAGTATAAACAATCACATCCTTATAGTTTAAGTTCTTCTTGAACATAACTCCTTTTTCAGAAGTAGCTTTTATGTACCTTAAAATCCGTATAACAGCATCCATGTGTTTTTCACCTGGATTGTGCATGAACTGGCTAACCACACTAAGAACATAAGCTAAATCTGGCGTAGTGTGTGAGAGATACATCAATCTCCCTACAAGTCTATGATATCTTCCCTTGTTAGTTGGAGTTTGATCTTCTTCAATGCACAACTTCAATCCCTCTTCAATTGGAGAATTTGTTGGTTTGCATGTTGTCATTCTAGTTTCTTTCAGTAAATCCAATGCATACTTTTGTTGTGAGAGAAAAATACCTGACTTTGATCTTCAAACCTCAATTCCAAGAAAATATTTCAAAGGACCAAGATCCTTCATCTCGTATTCTTTTGCCAAGTACACTTTCAATGCCTTGCGTTTCTCTAGATCGTTTCCCGTAACTATCATGTTATCAACATAGATAATAAGAATTGTAATCTTTTTTCCTTTTTCTTTAGAAACAAGGTATGATCTTGGTTGCTCTGATGATATCCAAAGCAAGCATTGACTTGGTGAATCTACCAAACCATGCTCGTGGCGATTGTTTTAGTCCATACAATGACTTCTTCAACTTGCATACCTTCTTGCTATGTGTATTCGGGATCCTACATCCTTCTGGTAGCTCCATATAAACTGCTTCAGACAATTCCCTGTGTAAGAAGACATTTTTTACGTCAAATTGTTGTAAGGACCAATCAAGGTTTACAGCTAGAGATAACAATACTCGAACTGTACTAATTTTGACGACGGGAGCAAACGTTTCAGTGTAATCTATTTCATATGCTTGTGTGTACTCCTTTGCCACTAACCTAGCTTTGAATCTCTCAATTGTGTCATCTGCATTAAATTTCACAGTGTACACCCAGCAACATCCTACTGCTTTCTTTCCAATTGGACAATCTACTAATTCTCATGTTTTATTTCTTTGCAAGGATCTCATCTCCTCATTCATAGCATCCTTCCATCTGGAGTTAGCTAAAACTTCCTGCACACTGTTAGGAATAGACACAATAGATAATTGACTTATAAATGCGATATTTGAGTTAGACAAATTCTGGTTACAAACATAATTACTCATAGGGTATCTTGTCTTATTGGTGGGATCAGGATCATAAGTAGGCTTAGGGATACCTCTAGTGACACGATCTAATAAAATTCTTTTTTCTGTATTAGGTTATTAAGGGGAAGATTGGTGTGGTATATCATCAACATAACAAGCAAATTTTCGATTTCGACATGCTCAAAATCTTCCTCATTATGTGGTTGTTGATCATAATATTGTTGTATACTTTCATCATCTCCTGATACAATTTTGTAACTTTTTTCTCCAATCTAACCTCAATATCAATTTTTTGAGGAACAAAAGTTTGAACTTCATCATAATTCTCTCCCGAATTTCGGACTCGAGGGAGGTTTTATGAAAAACTACATCTATAGTAGTAAACATTTGCTTGATTTGTGGATTGTAGCACCGATATCTTTTCCGGTGATCCGCATAGCCAAGGAACACATACCTTTCAGCTCTAGGTGACAACTTACTTCTTTGATGCTTGTGTAAGTGAACATAAGCAACACAACCAAAAACTCTATGAGTTAGTTCAACAATTTTAGGATGTTGTAAGTGATTGAAGAGGTGTTTTATACTCAAGAGACCTGGATGGTGTTCGGTTGATAGTGTATACTGCATATGTGAGAGTTTCTCCCCAATATATTGCTGGCATGTGAGCTCTAATCAGTGCAACTCGGACCACCTCCAATAGATGACGGTTCTTTCGTTCTGCCACCCCATTCTGTTGTGGAGTATTTGGACAAGATATCTGATGAACAATTCCTTTGACTACTAAAAAATGTTGAAGTTCTGATTGCATATATCCTCCTCCGTTGTCACTGCACAATATTTGAACTTGTGCTTTGTACTGGGTCTCAATCATTTTGCAGAATTTCTAAAATAGTCCTCTAACTTCACTTTTAGACTTCATCAAACATAACAAAGTCATTCGACTACAATAATCAATAAACGTTACAAACCACGTTGAGCTATCCAACATTGTAACCTTAGATGAACCCCATACATCAGAGTGAATGATCATAAAAGAAAGAAAACTTTTATTTGAAATTAAAGGAAAATATGTTCTATGACTCTTTGCAAGCTCACAAACATCACAATAAAAAGTTGAAGTGTCTACTTGGTCAAATACATTTGGAAATAATTTTTTTATGTAACCAAAAGATGCATGTCCTAGACGTTTATGCCATAACTAAATATTCTCGTCTTTTCTTACTTCTTGAGACCCTTGTGTTGCTAGCACTTGACCAAGTCTCTTTGAATCTTTTTCTGTTAGGTCCAGGTAATACAACCTTCCTCGCTTAATACCACAACCAATCATCTTCCTCGTCTGAATGTCCTTAAAAACACAAGAGTCAGACCCAAAAATTACAACACATAAAAGAGCTTTGGTTATTTGCGAGACTGATAAGAGGTTATATTTAAGAGAAAAAACAACAAGGACAGTATCAAGATTCAAATTATTTGAAATAGAGACAGTTCCTTCTTCAATAATAGTGGATTTACTACCATTTGCTGTGGAAATACTTTTTTGTGAAGAAGGTTTAAGATTTTTAATCTGTCTAACATCAAAAGTCACATTATCAGAACATGCAGAGTCAATTATCCATATATTATTCAGAACGGTAGATGTGCTTATTAAAGCCTTACCATTGGAATCATCACTACCTGTGACGCAAGCATCGTGTCTTTGTCGTCCTCTTTGTCAATGACGATTCATAGCTGAGCAGTTTGATTTCTTTTTGAATTCTTCTTCGATGTTCGACTGTGATCCCACCACTCGGGGTATCCTATGATTTTATAGTATCGTTCCTTGGTGTGTTCATCCTTATTACATTGAGTACACTTGTAGTTACCTTTTTCAAAATCTTTTGATTGCTTCAATTTACTGTGATGATTTGCTGGCTGCTTCTTTGTCATCATAGTTGTGGAATCAGAAATCATATCTTTTGTTTTCAACGTTGTTCGTCGAACTGTCTCTCTTCGGAATAATGCATAACATTCTTCTAAATCAGGTGTCTTTCTTGCGCAAGATTTTTCCACGAACTTGCTCAAAATCATCATCTAGTCCAACAAGGAATATATGCACCCTTAATCTTTCAATGGACTTCTGGTATGACTTCACATCATCAGGGTCCTTCTCGACTACTTTGTCCCGATGGTCTAATTCCCTAAAAATCTCAACCAACTTCCCATAATATTCCGTTAAGGTTCTATTATTTTGTTTTGCGATGAATACCCTTTGATTCGGGGCAAACACACGTACCTCATCACATCCATCATAAAATGCCTTTGACAAAGCATTCCAAATATCGAGGGCGATGGGTAAGCGAAGATACCTTTTCATGATTTCCGACTTCATGGACATCAATAGCCATCTTTTCATTTTTTGGTTTTCAGCATATTATTTTTCATATCCCTCATCGTTCTCTGTTTGAGGTTTCACCTTCCCACGGATGTAGGACGATTTTTTCCTCTCTACATCTCCATTAGTTGTGACTATACGTCATAATTGGATTCTTTTAAGATGATGCATACGTTGAAGACACCTTCGATTGAATCACCATTGGAATTAGTTTTCCGCCATCTCTCCAGCTTAAGATCTCCAAGGATTTAGAAAGAAAAAGAAAAAAATTATAAGTTGTGGTACCAAATTGAAAAATATAGAATTCATTCTATAATTTTTATTCAAATTATTTTTGTACACAAATATTATGATTTTATAGTATTTTACTCCAACAAATTAGGACTAAACAAAGGAAATTCTGATTATACAATATTTTATACCGTTATATAAATCTATTATTTAGCTAATCAAATATCTTTATCCTAATAGAATCTACACAACTAAAGTGTATTTTGTTGTTCACATTGGCACTCAAAAGTAAGTTGGCATATACATGACTTGATGCACACTCAAATTCTCAAGAAAAAACTACTGTTATGTGATCCTTGTAGGTTTGTCCCATTTGCCTCACCGATCCTAAGGATATGGCCTTTGGTTGCGGACATCAAGTAAGTAATCCAGACAATTAACTTTTAATCTCTGACATATTTACATTAGAGATGATTGAACGCCTATTACTATTAGTATTAGTTTTATATGAGCCATTTTTATTAATTTGCAGACATGCTGTGAGTGCGGACAAGATCTTGAGTTATGCCCCATTTGCAGGAGTACCATTGATACTAGAATAAAACTTTATTAAATGATCTCTTAAATCTTGTCCATGATTTTTCATGTTGAGGTATGAAACCGGTTTTCTGCAAATTTAACGGTGAAGGGAAAGGAGGCTGAGTCGAAACAATTTGCTTAGTAGCTTCGCATTGTACATATTTTTGGTATTTATTTATTTAAGTCTATGCTTTGAGCGGATTTTGTACTTGAGTTGGATTTGCTTTGTCACTATATTCATTTTATGCAATTCATCAATATAATGTTTCATACTTGTAGATTATGTGGCATCTTTCATGGTTTAGCGTCTCTTGTTTGTTCCATTGAGTTAATTTCTCACACCATTATGATGGGAACGGCCTGGGTCGTGTCTTTTTCAGCATGATTGAATCCTTAATATTCACTTGTGAACCACGTTGCACTTGTAATTATAACGTTGGGAGTGTCGACGATGGCACAACGAGTTAGACTTTATGGGCATTCGATAATTAAAAAGAACGTTGACCATTACCAGTCCAAGAACCTATTTGCGGTTTTATTTTACTTTTGTGGGCCCTGATCTTGGAATTTTTTGGACTATATTTGCCTCTTGTTTGGCATAAGCCACATCTCTAGAAGATTATATATATATATATATATATATATATATATATATATATATATATATATATATATATATATAAAGTTATACTATTTTAACTGTATAAAAGAAACTATATTTTTAATTCAAATTTAACCTAATCTGTCTTTCATTTTATTCTTATCTTTTGGAAAAAATTAAAAAAATAAGTGCATGCCCGCTAACTACATACATAGAAACACATAGGTCTCTTTCATCAAAAGAAACCTGCTATAGAGTGACGTAACATCCATTCTAAAATGATATAAAATATAACTGAGATACCCTTTTCTTGATACTAAAAGAACGATTACTATATCCTCCCAAAAAAATAGCACATTGAAAGATTGTGAGGCAAACCAAAGAGACAGAAAAACTTGTATTGTTTTAAGGTGAATACCATCCTGCATGAGTCCGAGACAATTGGATCCAAACATCTCAAAATGTTATTATAAGATCTACTGAAATTTAGCCAAAATGATTGCACCATTTCAAGTGCATGAGTGCCTAGTAAGTCGGCTTCAAGCAAAACGTAGTGCTACAAAAGGACTCTCCCTTCGAGTCTAATATCCATCACCTTCAACATGTTATTCCTATCTTGCAGTAAAATCATGATCACTATCTTATTTTTCCTGGTTTGTTTTGGATTCAGCGATGGTGCCAATGTGAGACCCTCTGAGGGGAGGAGAGGGCAGTGGCAACTGCTCCTTAACAACACCGGCGTTGTTGGCATGCATGTGGCTTTAACCTACAAAAACACAGTCATTATTTTTGATCAAACTGGAGCTGGCCCATCTCGTTACCAACTTCGCAGACGCTTCAGTGGAAGCACATGCACCAGAAGCAACCATGATAGGATGGACTCCACGTGCTATGCTCATTCTGTAGAGTATGACATTAGTACCAACAAAGTGAGGCCTCTGAGGCTTGACACTGATCCTTGGTGCTCCTCTGGTTCATTCCTAAGCAATGGTACTCTTTTACAAACAGGTGGTAATGAAAAAGGTACCAGAAGGATCAGACAATTTAGGCCCTGTGAGAATGGCCAATGTGACTGGCTGCAATCAAAGAAAACACTATCTGATAAGAGGTGGTATGCTTCTAGTCAGTTACTACCAGAACATGATAGGGTGGTTGTTGTTGGCGGAAAAAGAGCTTTCACATATGAATTTGTACCAAAAATTAGTCCCGGAGAAAATTTCTTTGACCTTCCATTCTTGCACCAAACTAATGACAATAATGAAGGAGGGAACAACCTATATCCCTTCCTTCACCTTTCATCAGATGGAAACTTGTTTGTTTTCGCCAACCGCGATTCCATCCTACTCAACTTGAGAAGAAACAAAGTGATCAAAACCTTCCCTCGGATTCCAGGAGAAGGGTCAAGAAACTATCCAAGCTCAGGCTCATCTGTGATACTCCCACTGGACCATAGAGACAACTTCCAAAAGGTGGAAGTTATGGTTTGTGGAGGTTCATCTACTGGAGCCTTTACAGCTGCTGCTAAGGGACGATTCTTGGAAGGGTTAAGATCATGTGGAAGAATGGTGATCACAGGAAACAATCACAAGTGGGATATGGAGAACATGCCCAAGCCACGTCTCCTACATGACATGCTTATTCTCCCTAAAGGTGACATCCTAATTATAAATGGGGCTGAACATGGGTGTGCAGGATATGACAATGCTAGAAATGCTTCTCTTGAACCTTATCTCTATAGCCCCAACAGAAGACTTGGAGCAAGGTTTACGGTCCTTATGTCCACCAAGATAGCCAGAATGTATCACTCATCAGCAGCTCTTCTTCCTGATGGGAGAGTCTTGGTTGCGGGTAGTAACCCTCATGGGAGGTACATTTTTCACAATGTGGCATTCCCAACTGAGCTAAGACTTCAAGCATTTGTTCCACACTATATGGAAAGGAGGTATCATAACATGAGGCCTAGTAACTTGACCATAGAATATGGTGGTGGCAGCCATGCAATTGAGTATGGGAAAGAGTTTAGAGTTAGGTTCTTCCTAGAGAGGAAGCCTAGCAACGAGATGGAGTTCAGTGCCTATGCACCACCATTTACCACTCATTCCCTTGCCATGAATCAGAGGATGCTGAAGCTGAGGTGCAAGAGCTTGGTGAGAAATGGTGATAGGTGGGTGGTTGCAGTCTTGGAAGCCCCACCATCTTCCCTTGTTGCACCTTCTGGTTACTACATGCTCACGGTTGTCAATGGTGGAATCTCAAGCATGTCTGAGTGGGTTCAGTTTGGACACGCCTAGGCTTGTCTTGTCTTTGTTCAATAATTCACTTCCAGAGTAGTAATTAAGGAAGAAATTTTCTTATAGGAAGACACCTGAAAGGAATGCTAATTTATGTAACAAAAAATAAAAAATATTTAAATCTACCTGGATTAGAAGTTCCTAGATCAAATTGTAACTCAGAAAAAAAAATTGAAGGTTATATGAAGAGTGGGTATGTCGTAGACTTATACTTTCTTTTTAAACACTTTATTTGACAAGGTTATATTATACCAGAGTTTTTCCTGAATGATGTCTTCCTCTTTAATTCAAAAATTTATTCCTATATGCAATCACAAAGTCACAAACCATGTTAGGAAGCTAAGAGCTAGACTACTGCTATACTAAAAGTCTACCAATAAGAGTTAAAAGTAAATATAAATAACATTCATATTTTTGGTTGATTATGATATCTCAACACGGAGTACAACTTATAATTTAATTATTATCAATAATAACCATACAAATGTCCCAATCTAATTTTAGAAAATTTTAAATAAAAATTAAATAATAGTAAAAATAATATCTGAGTTAATATATGCATATATGGAGTAGCTTATTTTTCTCATTTCAGCTTTTTAGAAAGAAAAAGATAAACTATTTAAAAAAATCAGTTTTTTAGTAAGAAAAGAGAAATAATAAAAAAATAAATTTTTGAAGACTAAATTAAGAAAATTAATTTAATCATATTGAAATGAGTTATAAAGTTTAATTACTTATTTTGATCTCATAACGAATTAATTTTTATGAATTTAATCTATGTTAAAAATGATAGATTGATGTACCAGATCGTCTCAAGATAGCTGTTGTAGTTTTAATTTGTCACTTCACGATGTCTCATTTAATCCATGAATTTAATATATTTAAGCGTAGAATAAACTAATTCCTTCCTAAAAAATATTTAGATATTAAATTAAAATAAAAAATTATAATTATAAATATTATATTTTTTTTATGTTATTGAAATATATAAATATTAATTAATTAAATATAAACGATTGATTATAATTGAATATTTTAATATTAAATATATAATTTTCTTAATTATTTAATAAAATATTAATTAATAAATAAATATTTATATAATTAAAATTATAGTTGTAATATATATATATATATATATATATATATATATATATATATATATAATTAGCAAGTTGGCCAATTAATACTATGTCCCGATCTAACATCAAAGTTAGTGAGACGATTGATTTTTTTAAATAATATAAGATATAAAGCAGTGATAAATGAATCCAAATTGATAAAACTTGAGGAAAAAAAAATTTAGATAGATACTAATTTTAACAATGAGATATACCTTTATATTCTGGAGATATATATAGTTGCCTCACTCACCAGTATTTGACTTTAAAGTTTGTAATCCAAGGAGATTCTGGCGGATGAAACTGCCACAGTTTTGCGAACATGATCCGCTTCACACGTTTTAGTTTCTACAAATATTTTTTTAATGTCTACAATATTATTATATTAGTTAATATGAACTGCAACAGATGAAAACTGATCTAGTAGTTTCTAGTTGCAACTAAATTCGAAGCAAATCATTATTAAATAAAATTAAAAATATATTTCATTTCTGTAGATTAAGCTGACTCATCCTTGACGAGGCACTGATTCGGTGAAAGCAGAGTTGTAAAGAACCTGGCAGTTGCAACTTGTGGCAATTTGAAGTTTCCACGTTCAAGCTGTGCCTATCCGTGAAACAGAACATGTCTGAAATGAATAAAAAGAAAACCACCACCAATTTACTATACATTGTTGCCAAACCTTGCTACTCCAAGTTCCAACCTCATTCTATCACGCACTCTCAAACTCTTCATCGTTCTGTTACTTTTTATCAAGTTATCACTCCTCTTTAACCTTTCTGTGCGAATTTATGACTGTCAGGGTGAAAGACGGGCGCTGTACGGTGAGGGGCAAGGTCGTTTTGTCCCATGTCCCCGGAAACATCGTTGTTTCTCCGGTTGGAACAGAGTCCGCTTTCTTGGGTGCAACTTCAACCGTTTCAAGTTCTCGTCATGTTTTCGATCTTGGCGTTCTTCAGTGAGTCTCTGATATTATTCGCCTTTCTCTCTGCTTAGCTTTCTCACGTTCACCAAGAAGCTTCTAGATTTGAGTCAAACGTATATGGATATGTTGACGGGGTTTTGCTCCTTGTTAAGTGTTATTAATTTTCGTAATTTTATAAACTAAGTAAAGTCTGTATTTACCAAAAGGAGCATATAACCTGTAGAATTAAAATTTTTACAAATTATGTTTGTGTATTAAAGTTATTAGCTTTTCTTTTCTTTTCTTTTCTTATCTACTATCAGCATAAAACATCTGCACCAAACCCTGAGAATTGTTCACTGAAACCTATTGTGGAAAACAAAAAATGTGCAGGGGATATAGGTTGCTATCTTTGTTCAGATTCAAAATCTGGTGGATGATACCACGTTTTGGGAGATCTGCCAGTGATGTTCCAGTGGAAACTCAATTGCTGCTCCTGGAAGCCAAAGAAGAATCTGCGCTTGAGGATGAGCTTTCTTCTGACTGTGAAGAGGCAGCTACAGATAACACTTGCTACATTCTCTTCTTGCCTGTTTTGGATGGACAGTTTCGCGCAACTTTGCAAGGAACTCAGTCTAACACGCTCCAGTTTTGCATTGAAAGTGGTTAGTTCAGTTTTCTCCATTAGATTTTCTTCCTGTGCTAAAGAAGAAAAGAGAAAAGAATTAAACAAAAGTGTACTAGTTATTATCATCTTCAGATAAGCTATTTAAAAGTAATATGAGTGTTACTTTCGATTTTTTAATGCTGCAGGAGATGCCCATGTTCAAACTTCCCAATCACTAGAAGCAGTATTTGTAAATTCAGGGGACAATCCATTTGAGTTAATCAGGGATTCTATCCAGTATGCTTCTTGCTCTGGAATGTCCCTCTAACTGCTTCTTGTTTAAAAGTCAGGACACGTTAATTAATTTACAATGCATAGGATATTGGAGAAACACAAAGGGACTTTCTGTCATCTTGAAAACAAGAGGATTCCTGTACATCTTGACTGGTTTGGATGGTGCACTTGGGATGCTTTTTACACTGAAGTGAGTCCACAAGGAATAAAAGAGGGCCTTCAAAGGTAAACTACATACATACATACTACTCTGTCAACTAACTACACCTATTGATAGATGGCCTGCAAATTTTGAAGATATCAATGACATTGTCGATTTGCCTTTTAACGAACAGTTTCTCAAATGGAGGTTGTTCGCCAAAGTTTGTCATTATTGATGATGGATGGCAAGAGATCCTCAACACATTTCACAAAGAAGGCGAACCAGTGATCGAGGGAACCCAGTAAGTCTCTCTTTTGAGTTGAGACCATATATTTTCTCCTCCATTTCTTGGTCATCTGCTCACATCTTTTTTGAACTGTTAGGTTTGCAACCAGACTAACAGACATCAAAGAAAACAAAAAGTTCATCAATGTGGGCTCTGAGAATTCGTGCAGAAATCTCCACGACTTTGTTCACTCTATCAAAAATACTATGAACGTAAAGTAAGCTGTCCGATCACATAAAAATACCATACCATGACAACATTGAAACTTAAGAACTGACCATGACTAATTGTGCACTCTTCAGATACGTTTACATGTGGCATGCTTTAGCTGGTTACTGGGGAGGTGTACTCCCATCATCAGATACAATGAAGAAGTATAATCCAAAGCTTGCATATCCAATTCAGTCACCTGGTGCCACTGGGAACCTTAGAGATATAGCCATGGACAGCTTGGAAAAATATGGAGTGGGAATCATTGACCCAGAAAATGTAGATGACTTCTACAATGACTACCACAGTTACCTTGCCAGCTGTGGTGTGGATGGAGTCAAAGTAGATGTTCAAAATTTGACAGAAACTTTAGGTTCTGGGTACGGTGGTCGTGTTTCATTGACCAAACGGTATCAGGAAGCATTAGAGCATTCTGTAACAAGGAACTTCAAGGACAACAACCTCATTTGTTGCATGTCTCACAACTCTGATTCAATTTACAGGTTTGCATTCCATCTAGTTAAAGGCAAGTCCAATCCAAAATCTTGTTTGGATCCCTTTCTAACTAGTTGTTTATTTTAATTCTCAATTTTCAGTTCAAAGAAAAGTGCAACAGCAAGAGCATCTGAGGATTTCATGCCAAGAGAACCAACATTTCAAACCTTACTCATTGCCTCTGTCGTGTTTAACAGTCTTCTTCTGGGAGAGATATTTGTGCCAGACTGGGACATGTTCCATGTAATATTCCTGTCGCAATACTTGTCCAAATGTCTCATGTATGAACATGTTAATGAGTTGCTTGATATGGTTCATAAATCATTCTATTCCAGAGCAAGCACGAGACAGCGGAGTTTCATGCTGCAGCAAGAGCAATAGGCGGTTGTGCAATATATGTAAGGTAAGACTCCAAAGCAGAATGAAGTCTTCGTCCCCCTTCGAAAAACACTTTCTTAATCATTCAAAAGTTTGAAAAAAAATCCCGATACATTGCAGTGACAAACCTGGCAATCATGATTTTAAAATCCTCAAGAAGCTAGTTCAACCAAATGGATCAGTCTTGAGAGCAAGATTTGCTGGTCGTCCTACTCGAGATTGTTTATTTGAAGACCCCGTGATGGATGGTAAAAGGTAAGTTAACAGGTTACTATCTGTCTCTAAGAATGGCCACAATTTTCAGTTTCGTTTTTATTCTTCACTGAAACATTGAACACTCATCATCACTGACTATTTTGCAGTTTGCTGAAAATTTGGAATTTGAATGCACTCACCGGGGTGGTAGGCATCTTCAATTGCCAAGGAGCAGGAAGCTGGCCACTGAAATCATTGGAACCTGCACCCTTGCGCATAACCATTTCAGGGAAAGTGAGACCCCTTGATGTTGAATTTCTTGGAGAGGTTGCTGGAGAAAATTGGAATGGAAATTGCATAGTATATGCCTTCAATGCAGGTGAAAACTCTACTGCATTAACTTAGCAAATTTCATTTCCTTTTAGAACCTAAAGCACATCCATTCCTCTATAAATACCAAACCTATCTACTGTGCAATACTGTAGGCTTGCTTTCCATGGTATCTCTTAGAGGAAAACTTGAAGTTTCCCTGGAGACACTCCAATGTGAAATATATACAGTCTCTCCGATAAGGGTCAGTACTCAGTAGGCCTACTTTGCAATCTAAATTCTGTGAAAAATCATCTTTAACAAGTCTCTCATGGCAAAATTGTTCATGTGTGTCTAAACAGGTGTTTGGTCATGGTGTGCACTTTGCACCAATAGGATTGCTTGACATGTACAACTCGGGAGGAGCAGTAGAAGCCTTGGACTGCACCATGGATGTTGCACAGTGCATCATAAAAATCAAAGGCAGAGGATGTGGCCGTTTTGGAGCCTACTCCAACGCTAGACCAAAGCGTTGTGTCGTGGACATGAAGGAGGAGGAGTTCTCCTACAACCCTGACTATGGATTTTTGACGTTTAAACTTGATGGTGAAGGCAACTCAAGGGATATAGAATTTGTATACTCAGGTGACTCGATAAAGTCAAAGTGAATGTATTCCTATACTTCTTCAGAGCCATATTTTATATACCTAACCCCTGAAGTAATTTTATTGTTGTAAAAAAAAGGAGTTGCTTAATTTTGGTTTTAAAATAGATTTTGGTGTACAAAGCAATTATATATATATATATATATATATTTTTTTTTTTTAATTTTTATACATGTTTTTTTTTCATTAATCTTTCCTTAAATATTTTACTAATTTTGTTGACATGTAAGTGAATAATGATGTAAAAATTGATTGTTATATAATAATATACTGACATGACTAAATTTCACGTTACAGTTGAGATATTGAAGGAGCCATAAGTGTAATTAAGACATATCAATTTAAATATTATGTTAAAAATTTTAAATACTTTCTTCAATACTGATATAAAAAATATTATCATGTAAGTAAATTATTGTGTTATTTGGGAATATATTGTTTTCTCATCCAAAATTTCTTTATTTGTCATTTTACTTTTTTTTTACTATTTTTTTATTTTTTAAATAAAATGAGTATGTTTCTAGGTTTTATGTCTGATAATATCGTTAGAATTAATATTAATTTTTATGTTTAAGATATTATAATTTTATCCTAAAAAAATTAAAAAAAGTAAAATCTATATAAATTATCATAATCTCCTTCTCTTTTAAGAATACACTTGAGGATGAGAATGGATTCAAACCATCAATGATATTATCTTTAGATCTATAATGCATATGATGAAAGCGAGTGTGCGATTGTGCCGGAAAAAGGTCAGGGTATTGCATATTTTATAACTCCAATATCTGTTAGAGGATTATTATGTATCTTTTATCTTTCATATTTATACGCCATCTCTTTCAATCATTTGTGTTTGTTGTGATCTTCAATTTGTTGCTATACTTTTCTTCAATGTTTTATAAGCATGTGAATTCTTTGACTTCTGATTTTTTATTTTTACATTGTTATATATTTTTATATAGCTTAAATAAAGTTATATTTTGATGATATTTTGTCTTATAGATGTGGTACAAATATTTTTATAAAGAATTGAAGTTGTGGGGATGTGGAAATAAACCTTTGAGGTATTTCTTTTACAACTCAAACTCATATTACTTAAATTGAGTATCATAGAAAAATTAGAAAATGAATTTTAATAATAATAAATTGCATAGCATCTTCACCTTAATAGAAGAAATAATTTTTTAAAGGTTATTTCAAACAAATCTTAATAAAATCATTCTTAAATTATTTTGTCTAAATTGAGTTCTTTACATGGTTGTAAAGTTTTGATGTAAAATAAATAGGAAAATGATTGTTTTACAACAGAAGAAAAAGAAACGTCCAAACGACAATCTTTTCTTAAAAGAAAATATTATTAAAAAAATAATTATTATTTCTATTTTTATTTTCTTTTTTCTCTCACAAAGAAACCTTACACACGGTCTCTCATAATAGAATTTCGGAATTAGGAAATGAAAATAGCAATTGAAACTAAGATTATGCATGTAAAAGAAGTAAACTATAAAACTGAAATTGAATGCAAAGTTGAAATTAATAGAACTATCCTTACATGGTAACAAAACTAAAGGAAATCAAAACGAAACAAATATGAAGTTGTGTACACTGAAATACTTAACTATACTGAAGACAAAAATTGAGAATTAAAAAAATGTAATTGAATGTAACATGATTGATTTAAGAATAATTGTAATAATAAAAAAAATGAAAAATGAAAAATGGATTTTGTTAGAAGTTGCTTTAGGGCTGAATATGTCTATTAGCAATTTTGTTCTATTTTGTTTCAGTTGTTAAATTACTATCCTAGTCTGTAGGAAGCAATTAAGTCTTTAGGGAGCAGTTCAATTTTTTGTTGTTGATTACGGATTTATTCTAGGATCATTTTGTTAGTGGGTAGTTTCTCTTTTCTTTCTTCAAATTGTAATGATTCAGATTTGGATATTACTATGAAGTTATTCCATTCCTCTGCTGCAGAATTTTCTTGTTGTTTTCTCTGATTGTCTCAAAACATTATCTTCTAAAATTAATAATTGGTATCAGAGCCTTATTCTTGAGGGACCTGTGAGAGAAAAATCTGAAAGCATGGAAGGAGATTCAAGTTTTTTAGCAATAGCACCACTAGTCTTCAATGGTGAAAATTATCAAATTTTTGGCGGTACGAATGGAAGTCTTCCTAGAAGCTCTGAATCTATGGGAGGCAGTTAAAAAGGATTATGAAATTCCTGTGCTACCTGACAATCCAACAATGGCTCAAATCAAGAATCACAAGGACAGAAAAACCAGAAAAGCTAAGGCAAAGGCATGCCTCTTTGCTGTAGTTTCACCAACAATTTTCACTCGAATCATGTCTCTAAATTCAGCCAAAGCCATATGGGATTATCTCAAAGAAGAATACGATGGAGATGATCGAATCAAAGGCATGCAGGTGTTGAATCTCATTATAGACTTTGAATTGCAGAAGATGAAGGAATATGAAACTATCAAGGAGTACTCTAAGAGGCTCTTGAGCATAGCAAACAGAGTAAGATTGCTTGATTCTGAATTTAATGACTCTCATATTGTTGAAAAAATTCTGGTTACTGTGCCTGAAAGATTTGAAGCTACCATAACCATGTTAGAAAACACTAAGGATCTGTCCAAGATCACCTTGGTAGAGTTGCTGAAGTCCTTGCAGGCACAAGAACAACAAAGACTATGAGAGAAGAAGGATTTCTTGAGGAAGCCTTGCCTGCTAAACATGAAGACAGGTGAAAAAACAAAAAAGGAATCAGCAACCAAATAAAGAAGGTGCTGTCAGAAATGAAAGCAAAGCAGGAAGCTCCAAGGGAAAGTATCCTCCTTGCAAGCATTGCAACAGGATGGGTCATCCTCCATTCAAGTGCTGGAGAAGGCTTGACGCTAAATGCACCAAGTGTAATAAACTTGGACATGAAGTTGTCATATGCAAGAACCAAACTCATTCGCAGGAAGAAGATGCTCAAGTTGCAAATGAAGAGGAGGAAGATCAACTTTTTGTTGCAACCTGTTTTTCAACCAATGCTTCAAGCGAATCTTGGTTACTTGATAGTGGTTGTACTAACCACGTGACCTTTGACAAGGCACTCTTTAGAGATATGATGCCAACTGATGTCACCAAAGTCAGAATAAGTAATGGTGATTATATCTCAGTCAAAGGAAAGGGGACAGTTGTAATTACTAGTTGTGCAGGCACAAAATTTATTTCAGACGTTCTTTTTGTTCTTAAAATTGACCACAATTTGTTAAGTGTTGGTCAACTATTTGAAAGAGGATTTAGAGTTATTTTTGAAGACAAATATTGCTTGATTAAAGATGCAACTGGTCGAGATATGTTCAAGGTAAAAATGAAAGGAAAAAGTTTTGCTTTAAATCCATTGGAGGAGGAGCAAATTGTTTTCTCACTCAAGGAAAATGTGATAGAAATCTGGCACAAGAGGCTCGAGCATTATCATCACCAAGGGTTGTTGTAGTTGAGTGAAAAAGGGTTGGCAGTTGATGTTCCTAAGCTTGAGGATCGAATTTCTAATTGCAAAGCTTGTCAATTTGGCAAGTAAAATCAAAAAGCTTTTCCAAAGATAACATGAAGAGCATCAAGGAAGCTGCAATTAATTCAGACTGACGTTAGGACCTCAAAGAACACCTTCATTAAATGGTAATATTTATTATATTATATTTGTTGATGACTTCACTAGAATCTGTTGGATTTTTTTCTTCAAGTACAAATCAGAGGCGGCTCAAATTTTTTGGAAGTTCAAAGTTAAGGTTGAGAATGAAATTGGTCTCAAAATTCAGATCTTGAGGTCAGACAATGGCAAGGAGTACACATCTGAAAAGTTTAATCAATTTTGTGAAGATTCCGGCATTGAACATGAACTTACTGCTCCTTATACCCCACAACAAAATGGGGTTAGTGAGAGGAGAAATAGATATATCTTGGAGATGACAAGATGCATGTTGTATGAGAAGAATTTGCCAAAGAAATTTTGGGCAAAAACAACAAATACGACTATTTTTCTTCAAAATAGACTTTCCACAAAGGCGTTGAAGGATCAAACACCATTTGAGGTCTAGTATGGTTAAAAACCATTTCTGAAATTTCTTAAGATATTTGGTTGTTTGTGCTTCACTCATGTTCCATAGCGCAAACGAGATAAGCTAGATAAAAGAGCATTAGCAGAAATTTTTTTAGTCTACAGCACAGTTAGCAAAGCCTATAAAATCTTTCAACCACAAAACAGAAAAATAGTTATTAGCAGGGATGTTCACTTTGTGGAAGATGAAGAATGGAATTGAGATGATACAAAGAAGATAGATCTGGCCTCTACAGATGTGAAGTTCAAGTTTTCAGCTTTAAACATAGAGCATAATGAAGATGAAAGCTAGCAAAATGAATTGGTAAATGATGCTCCTGTAAGAGGTACTAGATCACTCTCTGATATTTATGAGAGATGCAACATTGTTGTTTGTGAACCTACAGATTTTGGAGCAGTAGAGAAAGATCAAAATTAGATGGCTGCAATGAAGGAGGAGTTGTCTATGATTGAGAAGAACAAAACATGGGAGCTTGTTGATAAACCCCAAGGCAAAAAGGTAATTGGGGTAAAATGGGTATTTAAAACCAAGTTAAATGCTAATGGTTCAATCAATAAGCATAAAGAAAGGCTTATAGTTAAGGGGTATGCACAAATTTTTGGTGTTGGTTATTCTAACACATTTGCGCCAGTTGCCAGGCTTGATACAATCATGTTACTTCTTGCTATTTCTACACAACTTGGTTGGAAAGTGCATCAGATAGATGTCAAATCAACATTGCTAATGAGACCTTAGAAGAAGAAATTTATATTGAGAAACCCGAAGGTGTCGTTGTGGAAAACAAAGTTTATCACTTACACAAAGCTCTTTATGGCCTAAAACAGGCCCCAAGAGCTTGGTATAGTCAAATAGATGATTATTTGTTTGGCCTTGGCTTTGAAAGAAGTCTTTCG